TCTCATTTAATTAAATGAGAGAGATTGCATTATTATCAGAAACACATTGAGTCTCAAGTGTGGCACCCCATCTCCAATTTATCATCTTTAAGATGTATTAACTTAGAACGCTCTTTTCCATTCTTACTGTTTCCAGGCCTGTAAATTTAAGAAAGCAATTTTCTGTGAAATAAATCGCTTTTAAATACCAAGTTTTTTAAAAAAGCAAAGCTTCAGCACTTGATACATTCCAAATGTAGCTTCAGCTACATTTAGTGAAATTATTGAAGCTCTCCTAAATGTTGTTCTAAGTTAATACATCTTAAAGATGATAAATTGGAGATGGGGTGCCACACTTGAGACTCAATGTGTTTCTGATAATAATGCAATCTCTCTCATTTAATTAAATGAGACACATAAAAGATAAAGATGTCATTTTGTCTTAGGGAAAGGTTTAGCATTATGGTTACTAACAATTCTTTAACAGAAACAAACTCCTGAACAAAGAATGTAAACTTGTTGTATAGCAGAATACTTTAGAATCCTATATTAAAGTATTTTGCTATACGACAAGTGTACATTCTTTGTTCAGGAATTTTCTTCTATTAAATAATTGTTAGTAACCATAATTTTAAAAAATGGAAAAATATCTATTGATCTGCAAATCTGAAAGTTGAGAAAATCAGTGAAATGGTAAAATCTGAATGATTTAAAAAACCGCTACTTGGAAAGCCAAATAGTTAGAATAGTTACAGACAACTGTGAAAACAAGGTAGAGATTATTTGGATAAAGAAAATTGTAGTAGCAGCAAAGGCCAGAGATATTGGAAATCAATAATAAAAAAGGTTATGGTATTAACAGCTCACATGCTTAGAATTTGGATCACATTGAATGAGTCAATCTAACAGAAATTTGACAATAGAATTGAGTGAAGGAACTCATAGTGAAGTTCCTTAACAATTTCCTCTAAAAATAGACAAATTCAAACTAGTTGACAATAAGAAAAATAATAATGAAGTATCCATAAAGTATAGGAAGCAGATGGAGTAGCTCTGCAATCATTACTTGGAACACAATTACTATGTGTTTACTTGAAACCCTTTTACTACCTAAAAACAATGAACTGTACATGGGAAGCAAATGCAAAGATTTGCTTGAAAAAAAAACAAGTGCTACTACCACAACTCTCTGAATTTTAAAGCTAGCATATTGGCATCAAACTTTATGAAAACAGATGTTTAACAATCATGCATCAATTATTTGTTTTAATTATGATATTTAACACTCTATCTGGTTGACACACTTCAATTTGTCATAATAGGGCATTCTAATTGTATAACTAATTAAAATCTCTGTTCAAATATGAAATTCTTTGGATGGCATTGAACAAAATTTTATCTTTCAGTCAGTTCTATCAAGGCTACAGAATTCTTAATGTAAAATTACATAAGATCAAGTACATCTCCTTAGTACCAGTTTTCTGCCTGAGAATAGTTCAATTGTTTTAAGTGCTGTTCAGTAGCATGCAGAAATTGTTTAACAATTTCTTCTGTTAGTGACCATTCACAAATATGGTGGGAATGAAAAAAATCATTTTCCAACCAACGTGCTTTTATGTTGTTTATGATCAAATTTTGTGCACCTGAAAACAAAAGCCTTCAGTGTGAAAATGATTAAGGTCTGGTCAGGTTCTGGTAGCACTGTAAGCTAGCTGGAAGTTTCTAATCAACTAATTAATGGGGAAAACCAGGTCAGGAATAGGACCTCTTTGGAAAGAATTTTGTCGGAATGAGACAGAAGCAACCAACGATCTTTACAGTCTCTCTCCCTCTCCCTCCCTCCCTCTTTCTCCCTCTCTCACTCATTTAGCTACCATTTTGGTCAATAGCAAAATTGCTGGAAGGCATTCTTAATTATTGCAACAAAATTGTTACATGTACATAGATGGAAAGATCCAACTCTATGTAAGCATGGTGAAATTTATAGATCTTGCTCAGATGGATAAACTAACTTTTTTGATTAGAGTAAATTGTATTCTATTGTATTCTATTTTATTGGTAAATGGAAATCTTTTATGGAGTTTTTGCATAAAAACTAAAAAAAAACCTACTGATTTTTGGCATATTATCATGATGTAACCTTAGAGAGGTTAAAATATAACTGTACTTACAACCTCTGCAAAGAATATATTGAAAGCCATTTTTTGCATCTTTGATTTCTTTTCTTGCTCCCTTTTTTCCATATTTTATTATTTTGTATTAATTTTTAATCTTTAAATTGTTTTTAAAAAATTATAAAATGAAAACAATGCTTCATTATATTTATTATTCATTTATGGTTCTAGACCAATCATGAAAACAAAGTGCAATTATAGTAAATTTAAAAATATGAAAATTATATTGCATTTAAAACCAAAATAGTTAATGATATGGGGTTTCTAAAAGCCATGATTATTGATAAGAATTTTGCAACCTTTTTAAATTTACACTGTCAGTGTAAATCAAAATAGAAATGGAGCTATGTATAAGAGATGGATTTTGACTTGCCAAAAATCTCAATCGTGTCATTAATATAAAATCAACCATAGTGGGGCACGTTAACAAGTAGACCTATGTCCAGTTAGGTCACCTATCTGGATACTCTTGATTTAGATGTAATGTAGCACTATAATTAGTTTAGGTATACGTCAATCTAATTGCCAGCTAATTTTATCCAGAATCTTTCATGAGACATGAATCGAAGCCTGCCCTTAAGTCTAAAAAGGCAGTGTAAAAAATATATTTAGCCAAGTTATAAATATTTCTCAATGAGTTGATGTAATATAATGCACCAGACCAGGCCTGTCCCACCCACAGCCCACACATAACCATGGAGAACTGGTAATGTGGCAAGATTGTGAACCTATAATGTTATTATGAGATTTATATACATTAGCTATATTATATATTTTAGATGTGGTCCAAGGCAATTCCTCTTCAGTCAATGTGGTCCAGAAAAAATATTGGATACCCATCTACTAGACCATGATAAAGCATCCAATCTGGACTGGATTATTTGGATTGCAATCTTGCAATGTACCAGGACAAGACTTGTAGATAAGGGAGGAGAGTGACAATCCAAGAAACAGAAATAGAAACATTCATAGACGCTAAATCTCCAGTGTCAGAAAGAACCCATGCAAACAGAGAACAAGACTGTAAGTGGTGGATTTTGTCCTAAAACTTGTAGAATCTTTTAGGGAGTGTCTCTAAATAGAAATAAAGATTATCCTGTTGGGGTGGTAAGGAATGGATTCCCTCAGAAGATTGGTCCACAAAGTCATAATCAAGATATTGATATGGATTGTTACTGTACAAGAGTCCTCCTTTTTAGATAAGCAGGGTAGGTAGAGTATCTGCCTTCCGGGGAAAATATGTATTGAGCTTGAAAAATTATTGGACAAAATAATAATGTCACCATAATTGTCATTTTGGTCAATTTTATATTCATGCTTAAAAAAGTAGACTCAATTCTGCAAGCATGGTAACTATAAGGTCATTTGGGAGCAGACAAACAAATTCTCCCATAGGTTAAAGGAATTTCTGGTTTTTTTCTTGGTTATAATATAAGATAAGTACAATGGTAGTTCATTGCTGCTTCCTATTTATTTTCATCACATGCAGAAAATGTGAAAAGCAGCTGCAACACACAAAATGAAAGCAATATAAATCATAAGGCAAGATGAGAACAATAGCAATTACACTTCTCATACAATATTTGTTTTTCTCAATGAAATTAAGAGTAACAGGAAATGGTTCCTTCCTCAGTTTAACCGTTTCATCAAAATGTATCAAATTCATATTTGAATTTAATATATATAATCATTCCAGTGAATTGTGCAACTTACTTGCCATAATCTTCGTCCAATTCCTTTAATTGATTTTTTACTGTGCTGTAATTGATCTGTAACATCTGCAGACGTTTCTTACGTTTTTCATGGGCTTGTCTCAGCTCATCATTTTCTTGAATCTGTGTTACACCAAAACAAACGACTCAGTAAATCTTAAGATCTTAAAATGACAATTTTATATTGTTGAATTTCTTATTTATGACCAACTATTAAATACAATTTATTACGCCTAAATTATAATTCAAAGAATTCAGTCTTTAATAACAAATGGACTTCTTCAAAAGTTTCAAAAACTGCTTGGCTAGGACCTAAAGAACTGCACAACGGGTTTTGTATGCTCAGCAGAAATTTGGATTTGTGTAACATTCAAGAACATAGTAAACTACTTTGGAAACTATGTGAATTATAAAGCAATATACAGCATGCATTAACATACACAAAAAATCCTGAAATCCTAAAATGGCACTTAAAATCTGGAAAATGAATGAAGACTTTTAAGAATTCATTATTGAACTGGAACAATATATTTATAGCACCTTACATTATACCATATACTTATTTTATCATCAAATAGTTTCTTTTCCGATGTTGTGAGCATTTGTAATTTAATATTGGACAACTTTATGAAACAGAAAATACAACTGCCAATAATATCACATAAATCTATACTATGTCTACATTTGGAATACTATATAAAATTCTAATCATCATCTTTGAAAATGGGTGAAACACTCATGGAAAAAAAATAAAAAAGAATACAACCAAAACACCAGACATAAACACTTTGCTTATGTAAAAAAGCTAAAATATTTTGGACACTTTAGTCAAATCCAAACAAACAAACAAAGAAAGAAAGAAAGAAAGAAAG